ATCTTTTCTGAACCCTTTCAAGTTTCATAACATCCTTCCCATGGAAGGGGAACCAGAATTCAAATCAGTATCTAAAAAGTGGCCTCATCAATGTGCTGTACAGCTGTAACATAACATCCCAACTTCTCTACTTAGCGTCTTGACCAATGAAGGCTACCGTGCCAAATGCCTTCTTCACCCCAGGAGTCAACATCTTGACTAATTCCTCTGCCTATACAGGGTAAATTTTAGTCTTGCCCCTTTCCAAAGAAGGCAAGCAATGCTCAATTGCAAATTCCTGCCTGTAGGTGCTGATAGCATTCTGGAGCTTAGGCAATGTGGCCCGACATTATGTCACTCGATTAGACATTCTTCAACTTGGGACCTTTCCAATCAATATTGGCATGCTGCTCAAGTAATGAACTGAATGCCAACCGAGCCAGACCTCAGCTTCACACACACTTCTGGCAAAATTCACTGGATATTTTAATTACTAACCATTAACAGTCATATCATAATTTGAAGCTATTATTTGTCAGCCATTGTCTAATTGCTCAATTCTGCCAGTGCGGAGGATGCACTAGAAAGAAATATCTCAGTTTTAGACTTAAACAGACGAAGAAGGGAATTATTATTAGTTGCTTGGGCCCTAATCTCTGGGATTCCCTTTCTGAACCTCACTGTACCTCTCTTTGCTCCTTTAAGACCATACAACGTAAGTTTTTGACAAGTTTTTTCATCATTTAGCTCAATATCCCCTTTATTTGGCTTGATGTCAAATGTGATTATATGCACAAGAGCGTGGCACGGTGGCTCAGTGGTTAACACTGCTGCCTCACAGTCCCTGGTCTCTGGGTTTCATTCCACCCTCAGGCAACTGTCTGTGTGGAGTTTGCACATTCTCCCCGTGTTTGTGTGGATTTCCTACTGGTGCTCTGGTTTCCTCCCACAGTCCAAAGATATGCTAGTCATCTGGATTGGCCATGCTAAATTTCCCATGGTGTCCAGGGATTTGCACGCTAGGTGGATTACCTGTGGGAAAAATGCAGGGTTACAGAGATAGGGATTTGCATGCTAGGTGAATTAGCCATGGGAAAAATGCAGGGTTATGGGGATAGGGATTTGCAGGCTAGGTGGATTAGCCATGGGAAAGATGCAGGGTTACAGGGATAGGGATTTGCAGCCTAGGTGGATTAGCCATAGGAAAAATGCAGGGTTACAGGGATAGGGATTTGCAGCCTCAGTGGATTAGCCATGGGAAAAATGCAGGGTTACAGAGATAGGGATTTGCAGCCTAGGTGGATTAGCCATAGGAAAAATGCAGTGTTACAGGGATAGGGTAGGGGCTGGGTAGAATGCTCTTCAGAGGGTCGGAGTGGACACTGGCAGAATGGCCTGCTTCCACACTGTGGGGATTTTGGACGATTTAATATATTAAAGCTACATCAATATGCCTTGATGTATGTAATGTAAAATATATATAGCATATACATATAAACCCCTGTAGTTAACATCAGTGAACTTGGCTTGTAGTAATTTTATTTTATTTCACTCATGCACATGGGTTATTTATTGCCCATCCCTAGCTGCCGTTGAACTGAATGCTTGTTAGGCCATTTCAGAGGGCAGTTAAGAGTCAACCACATCGCTGTGGGTCTGGATTGCCCTTGAGGCCTGACCAGGTGAGGATGGCAGGTTTCCTTCACTGAAGGATTGTAAAAAAATCATTTTTTTTTCTCTGACAATGGGCAATGTTTTCATGGTCATCAGTAGAATTTTAATTCCAGATTTTAAAACGCTGTATTCAAATTCCACCATCTGCCCTGATGGGATTCGAATGCAGGTCTCCAGAACATCGGCTGAGTTTCCTGAATTAATAGTCTAGCAATCACACCATTAGGCTGTCACCACCCCACATCAAAGCAAAATACTGCAGACACTAGAAATCTGAAACAAAACGCAGAGGATGCTGGGAGAAACTCAGCAGATCCAGCAGCACCTATCCAGATGTTAACAGTTTGAGTTAACATTTTGAGTCTGATATGACTATTCTTCAGAACTGAAAGGGGTTAAATGGGTTGTATGTGCCACCATTTTCCAAACTGTTCTGCTTCGGAAGAAAAGGCATACCAAGCTCGAAACATTATCTCTTATTCCTCTCTCTCGATGGATGCTGCCAGACCTGTTGGGTTTCTTCAGGCTTGCAGTAATGAGAGATGTATACTTTTTGAGTGAATAACAAATGTTTTTAATTGATCATAACTGCATACAGAGGCAGGGTAAGAAGGGACAGTGTTCAGGCCATGCTGAGATTTGATACAGCTCTGATCTTTGCTGAGTAGTTATACCCGGAGGAAAGCTACAATTTCCTTTGCTCTGCATGGCTTGTCTTCCTCACTTAGGCATGCTCTGTGAGTCTATCAGAGGGCTCCGCTGGTTTTACTCTGACAAGCTGAGGACTGAGAAAAAGATAAACATTTTACAAGACACTTAACCATTTTATAGAGAATTTTTTTTCTCTGTCTGACTTGTGCAAACAATGATTGGATTAGCAACGCTGTTTAAATTTGCCTGGTGGCAAGTTTTGTGTTGTGAGGTAGACCACAAACTCGTTTTGACAAGTATGCAGCATAGACTTACATACTGTCCTCTCAGCAAATGGTATATCCAGCTATCCCAACCCAGGAGCTGATTGGCCATCTGCAGCCAAGCAGAATATATTGTGTGATTTAATTTGAAGCTATTAATCGTCAGCCATTGTCTAATTGCTCAATTCTGCCGGTGCAGAGGACGTACCACACAAAACAGAATCTCGGTTTTAGACTTAAGCAAACGAAGAAGGGAATTATGGTGCGCTTTTAAATCCTATCAGCCCTTCATAGAAAGAAAATAATTGCCTCAATCTTAACAGCAACATATATTCCTTATGAGACAGAGAAGAAAAAGAGGAGGGGAAAATGAGTCAACAAATTGGAATGAATGGTTTGCTTCATTTCTGTAATAATCTCTTCCGACCAGCTGCCAGAACTGCTGCTTTATAACTATATCGTGAAAAATTACCCAACGGAAGGAAAATGAATAATGCTTCGTGAAACATATGCACAGAATGTTGGCTGACATGGACTATTTGTTCTCTGCCTGTGCCTCTATATAATATCACCTTCCCTAAATAAACCAGGCACATTGTGTGACCCAGAGTCATTAAACAAAAAAAAAATTAAAAGTGCCATCTTTTTTAGATAAGGAAATAAATGTTTTAAAGACAGAAGTACATGAATCACAATGTTATTTTTAATATTCAGTCCCTGAAGAGACCCCAATGGCAGAAGGGCTTAAATAAAGTAACCTGCATCATGGAAGCAATTTTAACGTAACATTTCAGTTCAGGATTAATAGATTCCCTACAGTACGGAAACAGGGCCTTCGACCCAACAAGTCCACACTGAACCTTAGAGCATCCCACCCAGACCCATCCCTCTTTAACCCACCTAAGCTCCACATCCCTGAACACTATGGGCAATTTACCATGACCAATCCACCTAGCCTGCACATCTTTGGACTGCGGGAGGAAACCAGAGCACCCGGAGGAAACCCACACAGACACAGGGAAAACGTGCAAGCTCCACACAGACAGTTGCCCGAGGGTGGAATCGAACCCAGGTCTCTGGCGCTGTGAGGCAGCAGTGCTAACCTTAAATCTGATATGACTATGCCTTAGAATGTTCATATTGCACTTAAATTGTTAACTTTCTCCACAGACCATGTCAGATGTGCTGAGTTTCTCCAGAATTTTCTATTTTTGTTTCAGATTTCCAGCATCCACAGTATTTTGCTTTCTCATACTGAATTTAAATGGATTTGCAAGTTTTATCTAGAAGTACTAAGGAATGGCATTAGGCCACGGTTTCCTCATTTTGGAAAAACACTGCCAATTACCAGCCAATCATGTTGAGTAGAATTATTATAATATTAATCAAAGAGTCATAGAGTTGTACAGAATGGAAACAGACCCTTCAGTCCAACTCGTCCATGCTGACCAGTTATTCTAAATTAAACTAACCCTATTTGCCAATATTTGGCCCATATCCCTATAAACCCTTCCAAATCATATACCCATCCAGATGCCTTTTAAATGTTGTAATTGTGCCAGCCTCCACCACTTCCTCTGACAGCTCATTCCACACATGCATCACACTCTGCGTGAAAACATTGCCTCTTATGTCCTCTTCAAATCTTTCCCCTCTCACCTTAAACCTATGACCTCTAGTTTTGGACTCCCCTGCTCTGGGGAAAAGACCCTGACTATTCACCCTATCCATGCCCCTCATAATTTTATAAACTTCTATAAGGTCTCCAGTCCTCATTCTCAAGATGCTCCAGGGAAAATAGCCCCGACCTATTCAGCCTTTCCCTATAGCTCAAACCCACCAGCCCTGGAAATATCCTTGTCAGTCTTTTCTGAACCCTTTCAAGTTTCACAACATCTTTCCGACAGCAGGGAGACCAGAATTGAACACTGTGTTCCAAAAGTGTAGGTTGCTTATGTTGTTTTACAACCAAGGTACAAAACCTCTCACTGCCACATTGGGCTAAAATCTACCGTAGAAATAACAGACAGGAAAACAGTACTTTCATTACGTATGTGTTACTCAACCAGCATCTATGCGCACAATGCACGGTCAACAAGAACCAACACAGCAGGGAGAATGGGTACTCTGCATAGTTTGCATTCATGGAAAAATAAGGCATCGTTTTATCAGAACACGGGCCTACTTTCTCATTAAAGAGAGAGAGTGTGTGTGGTTTGACCTGAGGCTCACCATATAGGTAAGGTAGGGTAAGGGAGGAGGATGAAAATGAAAATCCTTCACAGTAACCTCAGCCTGCATGGGAATTGAACCCATGCTGTTAGCATCACTCCACATCGTAAAACAGTGCCCAGCCAACTCAACCCATCTGAATCTGGTCATGTAAGAGTCTCAAAAAAAACTGAATTGGAACAATTAACAATGATCACCTACCAGTGTGTGGCTCGATGGAAAAATATGGCTGCCCTTCCAGGATGCTGTACACTAATTTTGCGCTGTTCCCATAAACTGGATCATCAGCATCTGTCGCGGTTATCCCCATGACTGATGTGCCTATTGAAACAGCAAAACAAACGATTTTCAGGAGCAAGAAAAAGTTTTAATAATCAGCAATCCTGCCTTTGATGAACTTACTGAACCTTTCCATCTTCTCACCATAAAATTGGTGGTTTAGTGGACAGCAAAAAATGTTACCTCAGACTACAACAGGATCTTGATCAGCTGGGACACATGTCCAAGGAGTGGCAGACGGAGTTTAAGGAGATAAATGCAAGGTGTTGCATTTTGGTAAGACAAACTAGGGCAGGACATACACAGTTAATTGTAGGGCCCTGGGGGAATATTGTCAGAGAGACCTAGGGGTTCAGGTACATAGTTCCTTGAAAGTAACATCACAGGTAGACAGGCTGATAAAGAAGGCATTTGGCATGCTTGCCTTCATTGCTCAGACCATTGAGTTCAGGATTTGGACGGCATGTTGTGGCTGTACAGGACATTGGTGAGGCCTCTTATAGAGTACTGTGTACAGTCTGATTGCCCTGCTATGGGAAGGATATTATTAAATTGGAAAGAGTGCAGAAAGGATTTACAAAGATGTTACCGGGACTGACAAGTTATAAGGAGAGGCTGAGTAGCTGGGACTTCATTCCCTGGAGCATAGATGTTGAGGGGTGACCTTATAGACTTTTATAAAATCATGAGCAGCATAGATAAGGTTAATAGCAAAGGTCTTTTTCCTAGGGTAGGGCAGTTCAAAACTAGCGGGCATAGATTTAAGAAGAAAAGGGAATGATTTAAAAGGAACCTGAGGGACAATTTTCACACAGAGGGTAGTGCATATATGGAATGAACTGCCAGAGGTGGTGGTAGATGTAGGTACAGTTAGAATATTTATACAACAATTGGACAGGTATATAAATAGGAAAGGTTCAGACGGATAAGGGCCAAACGCAGACAAATGGGGCTAGTTTAGTTGGGAAATATGGTCAGCATGGATGAATTAGACTGAAGGGTCTGTTTCCATGCTGTATCACTCTATATTCCCTATATCCATCAAATGCATTTCTCTTTGTAAGGACATGTGATTATCTCTTGAACTGAGAAAACAGAAAATGTTGGAATCAGACAGAAACTCATACATGGTCACTGAGGATTATGAAAACAGGACAAGGGATGATGTTTGTGAAGTGGGATGAATACAGAGGAAAATTATGTCAAAGAACAATGGAGAGGTGAGCTCGTTGAAGTTTGGGCTGTTGACACTTGAAAGGAAGCAAATATTTTTCTTGAAAGCATTAGATTCTGTCAGAACAGCTGAGTGTTTCCAGAATTTTCTGTTTTCATTTCGGTTTTCCAACACCTGTCATACTGTGCTTTTCTAATTATCTCTTTAAACCATTTCTCCAAATTAATGGGCTTCTGGGGAATTTATTCCACACTTTGGTTACATGTTGGATTAAAAAGTTTTGCTTGGCTTCCTTTCTTACTCCTGCTTTGCTCATTTTTAGAAGCGGGAATAAAAGTCAATTAAACTGCTAACAAAGCACTGGGATTTATTTCCAGTGGTGTAGAACTTAAACTTGTATTATGCTCTGCATTTACAATTTTTGCACAGTCTTGTTTCCAAACCTAGTAAAGGGCATCAAAGCATTGGAAGAAGTGCAAAACATAATTACGAGGATGATACTAAAACTGAAGGATCAAAACTATTGGGAGATATTGAACATGTTGAGGCCATTTTTCTATATTTCTGATAGCAGCTTGGATGTGTAACAGCTCATATATGGAAAGTCCTGGTTTCTACTGGTGTGCAAGATGACTACTTGCGCAGAAAGTGCTCCCAACTGTACAATCTTGTGCTCCATTCCCCTCAATACCCATCTCCAAATCGTTTATATAAATCAGAAAAAACGTGGTCCCAACACTGATCCCTGGGGAACACCACTTTCAACTCATCTCCAGTCTGAGAAATTCCATCTGTTTCCCATCTATTAGCCAACTTCTACTTGTGTGCCCACTCCACTGACTTGTCTATGTTCTTTTGAAGTTCTCCCCAGATCATATCATAGAATCATGCAATTTTACTGTACAGAAGGCTCATTGTGTCTGTACTGGCACTCAAAAGAGCTATCCAACCAGTCCCAGTCTCCAGCCTTATCTCCTATAAATTCATCACTTTCAAATATCCAGAGCTCGAGCAGTGGTCAGAGACAAAGTGGCACATCCATGAGGCTGAAAGTCACATGGACAGCACAGTTAGAGAGGTGGTCACAATGCTGCTCAAGGGACTGGAGAGGAGAAGGCGAAGAAAGGAAGGCGGTCACCAAGTAGTCAAAGAGAATCAGATAAGAACAGCAAGAGTCGCCAGCTGTCCGGCTCAAGAATCCATTTCGGAAACTGACGAGGGCACTGGATCCTCAAGGGAGTACAATCAGAGACAAGCTTTCTTCCGTACAGGGTGTCGGAAGTCTAGAACTCACTGCCTATAAGGGTGGGAGAGGCAGACACCCTCATAACATTGAAGGAGTATTTAGATGTACACTTGCAATGTTAAGGCAAATGGGCCAAATGCTGGACAATGGGATTAGAATAGATGGCTGTTTTTGACCAGTGCAGACCTGTTAGACCAAGAGGCCTTCTGTGCTGTAGATCCCTGTGACTCTAAAACTTAAAGGAGACCTGATTGTGTTCTTTAAATTTATGAATGGTTTGAGAAGGGTGGATATGCGATGTTTGTACTTCTGGGAGAATCCAAAACCAGAGGCCATAAATACAAGAAAGGATCCACAGGGAAATGAGGGACAGCAGTCAGAATGTGGAACCCACTATCACATGATTATTTAAGGCTAAAAATACCTGGATGTTTTCAAAAGGAAACAAGATGAATTCAAGAAAGGGAAACGCTTGCGGAAAGGTCGAGTCGTTAGATTGCATACGAGGTAACTTGTATTGAAGCATAACAAACAGCCTGTTTCTGTAGTTTCTATGGACTTCTATGTAATTCTCCTGCTTTTGGAACACTTTGTAACAGCTTTGTCTGGAATAGTACCTTTAAGTCCTATTACACTGAAAACTATAATTCAACTACCCTCAAATGTTCTTTCTTTTCAGAAGGGAATTTTAGACCCAAATATGAAATATTTCAGTTGCACTAACTTTCACCAGCACTGCAGCCTATTGCTGTTCTACCCCTAAACTTCCAGCAATCAGCTTTATATTCATTATTTGCCTCAAAACTAACTGAGCATAAACAACCCCTTCCTGTCACATTGGGCTGGAATTTACGACAGAAATAATAGAGAGGATAACAGTGCTTATTATTACTGCTGTGCAAATTGAACAACTAGAAGTAAGCACAATGTGCAGTTCAACATAAATGTTAGGGGTTTGCTATCTAAACTGTGTTCTTCTGCCATAGCCTGTGTTACAGGCAGCATCCTACCTTTGGGACCCTCATTCAAATGTATTCAAAAGCCTTACAATCCAGTAATAGTGTGCTGCAAAAAGTTAAAAGTCAGTCTATTTCAGTCAAAATGCCCCTTTCATGTCTCAGTTAAGGTGAAAGTCCCATTGTCTCAAGCCTCTGCAAGTGGAGCTAGGAGGTCCAAGTTCAAAGACGTAGAATCAAGTTTTAAGTTGCAGAGGAGACCATTCAGCCCATCATGTCTGCATTTGCTCTCCAAATGATCATTCTGACTTCGGTCCATCCTCCTGCCTTTTTCCCAGACCCTTGCATATTGTTTCTATTTAAATAATCATCTAATGTTCTTTTCAATGCCTTAATTGACTCTGCATCACCTTCACTTCCAGGCAATGCATTAGATACCTAGACCAATTGCGTGGAAATAGATTTTTTTTTCTCACATCACATTTGCTGGTTTTGCAAATGACTTGAAATCCTCTGCCATCTTCCACTTGATCCTTTTATTAGCAGGAACTGTTTCCCCAACCTACTCCATCTATCAGCTTCATGATTTTAAAAACCACGATCAGATCTCCTGTTACTCTTCATCTCTCCATAAAGAATAGCCCTAACCTTTCCAATCTATCTGCACGTGAACTTTCTTATCCCTGGAACCAATCTTGTAATCTAGGCACTCTCATTAAGAAATGCATTCTTTCTCTACTGAGTTCACATCCTTTGTTTATTGTGATTCTCAGAATTGGACACAATACTCCAGCTGAGGTCTAACAATTATCCTACACAGTTCAGCATCATCTCCCTGCTTTACTCCTCTACGCCCTTATTAATGAAATCCAGGGATACCGTATGCTTTATTGACTGCTCTTCACCTGTCCTGTCACCCTCAACGATCTGTGCACACAGAGCCTATGTCCCTCCACTCCTTTGCCACCTTTAGAATTGTGCCCATTATTGCACATTGTCTGCCCATGCTCTTCCTACCAAAGTGCATCATGTCTCACTTCTTTACATTGAATCTGCCACCTGTGTGCCCACTCCACTGATTTATCTATGTGCTTTGAAAGTTCTATACAGATTGTATCATAGAATCATAGAATTTTACACTACAGAAGGAGGCCATGTGATCTGTTGTGTCTGTACTGGCATTCAAAAGAGCTACCTAACTACTGCCATTTTCCAGCCCTATCTTCATAGCTCCATAAATTCATCACTTTCAAATGTCAAGGTCTTTTGAAGCCCCCTGTGGAACTTGCCTCCACTACTCTTGCAGGAATCACATTCTAAATCCTAACAACTCTCTGAGTAAAGAAGCTTCTCCTCATCTCACTCCTAGCTCTCTTTCTGACAATCTTGACATTACAACCCCTCAATACTGATCATGGAAACAGAATATCCTTCTTTATCCTGTCAAAACTGCTCAGAATTTTAAATATCTCAAAAAGGTCATGTCTTATCTTCTGTGCTCCAAGGACAATAAGCCCAATTTCTCATTCCTGGTATCATTTGTGTAAATCTGCATTTCACTCTCTTCAGGGTTTTAACACCCTTCCTTCAATAAGGTGCCAAGAACTGAACACAATACTCCAAATGAGATCTGACCAATGATTTGTAGAGGTGTAACATCACTTCC